CATGATGCTGGGCTTAGGACTGGCTAGTGGCAGCCTTCTCCCTCCCTGACTCCCCCTTCATCTTCTCTCTGCACTGAAGATTCACTCTAATGAATGTTTCTCTGACATGCACTACGTTTTTCTCCATCACCTGTGCCAGTGGCCTTGAGCCAAATGGCTCTCAAGTCCCTTCCTTTTTGCTATTGTACCTGGTCCCCTCCCAGACCATCCTGCAGAGTGCTGTCACATTAATCTTCCAGAAGCACAGCTTGGAATGCTGCCTCTGTCCTCAACAGAACCTGGGTCCCCAGGGTTGGGGGTGCTTTATTGACCTAACTGGGCCTGAAGTTCTTTATTGATGAAACTAGCCCAATGTCAGACTCTCCCTCTGGCTCTAAGTGCCTTTTCCCGTGACTCTGCCCTATTCAGCTCTACTCCCTGGGCTGACCAGACTACTCTTCCCTCTTTTCTTTGCTCATCTCTTTTCTTTTCCTTTAATCTAGAATTTCCTTCCCAGAAGCCCTGCCTGCCAGTATCCGACCCCGTATGAAGTCTTCCTTGATCCTTCGCCTTCCCTTCAACATGGTGTGATCTCTCCTTCCTCTGCTCTAATTCACAGCATTGATGCCTCCCTCACAGCAAATGGAATGTTCTTGTCTGTGTCCATGAAAAATACTGGACTCCGAGTCAGTACCTTGGCCCAGCCACTCAATTTCTTTGTGACATTGGGCAAGTCCTCTAACTGCCCTGTGCTTCAGTTTCCTTATCTGAGAAGAGGGTGTAATAGCTCCCTAGGTGCAGAAAGGGTTCGACGACACAGTACATGGAAATGAACTTAGCCATCAGAGACACAATCAATATTTCTCTGCTTTTCATTCCCTTTCCTACTTGTCTCTGAGCTGTTTGAGGAAAGGAGCTATCTTGCTCATCTTTATGTGCTACTGTTACTATTATTACATTACTATTAATGCATTATTATGAATATATTTTCAATAATAATGGTTAATATTTATGAAGTGCATAGAATTGTGTCAGGCACTGTTCTAAGTACTTTATATGGATTAATTAATTCTTCCAGTAACCCTAAGAGGTACCATAACCCTATGAGGTACTGTTATTATCCCACTTTATGGGAAAAACCACGTATTTCACAGGGCCTCCAATGAATGAGGAACAAATGAGGGATTGAATGGTACAGAAATGATTCACAATGCCTGCCGGCTGGTTCTTTCTCTCTCTCTTGCTTCTGTACCCCAACCTGTTCTTTCTTTTGATCTCCTGAGGAGAAAGTCTTAAGTGAACTGAGACCCTGAACTACAAGAGGTCTCCATTTAGACTTTCTCAAGAAGTGAGCTCCAGGAATCTTGTCCTCCATTATCCTCACAGGGCCTCGAACGATGTCTAGCGATCAGTGTTTACTGAATAGGTAAAGTAAGTAATTTATAAACAGCACCTCCATTACGCCTAAGACCGCATAGGTGGCTGACAGTGGAGACACTGAGCAGAGTTGTGTCTTGCTTTCTCAGGCAGTACTACGAGATGCTGTACAACACGGCCGATGAGCTCCTGAACCTGGTGGTGGACCAGGGCGTGAAGTACACGGAGCTGGAGTACATCCACGCCCTGACCCTGCTGCACCGCAGCCAGACGGGGGTGGGAGACCAGACCACCCAGAACATGAGGCTGCAGCGGCTCAAGGAGATCATCTGCGAGCAGGCTGCCATCAAGCAGGCCACCAAGGATAAGAAAATAACTACAGTTTAACTGGGTGCACGGCAGGGTGGGGGAGGGGGGAGTGGTCATCTTTGTTTCCTTCATCATATTCCTCCCTTGGGTGTGTTGTCTGGTATATTCTGAGCTGATTTAGTTTTCTCTACGCTGATTCTTGAGTGGAGAGAAGGTGTAAGGATCTTTTTCTCTTCAGCTTTGGCTTTTCATATAAACTCTAAAGGGAGTTTGCAGTACAGAATGCTCTGATTTAACATTTATTTTAATGCTGTCAATTCCAGAGGGTCTAGGGTGGGATGGGGAGGAAGGTTGTGTCAAATTGGACTCTGAAAAAAATGCACGAATTACTAATGCCCAGCAATCTTTGGAAAGTAGATTGTTACTTAAGTTTTAGTCCCTTCCTAAAACCGCTTAATAGGGTTCTAGTACATAAACAGTAGAATTTCTGTTCTCTTGCCCTTGTCAGTTTACAATTCGATGTCAACGGCTTCCCAGCTGGTTGCAGTTTTCAACAAATTTCCCAAACCAAAACAGGACCTCTTCAGAGCTTCACGGGAAAACTCCTTTTATCTCAGTCCTTAGGAGAGTTTTGTATGCAGTAGCCCAGACACAAGTTATAGGTTGGTTGATGCCTTTTTTGTTTTTATTTCTGTTGCATCTAAACCAAGAACTGTCAAATTAGTGACAAAAATGGAAGAATGAAAGGTGATTCAACCATCTTCTGGATATTTCTCCTCCACCCTCCAAGATAAAATGATGGTTAGAGAACTTTGAATCTCACTTGAAACATTGTCTGGATGTGGAAGATTCTTAAATGCTCGCTCTCTTTATGAGCCCTTAGGTCTTTCTCACCTTAGAAGGTAACCCAGCTGAGTACCAGGAAGCTGGAACAGCCATGATGTTCCTCCTCTGTGCACGCATCTGCTGTGGCCATTTCCAAAGTGCTCCCAGCTGGTGTAGGAGCTCACAGTGTCTAGTACACTGCGCCTGCCCACGTCTCCAAGTGCTCTTGCTGCCTGTGGTTGACGTGTCACAGAAGAAAGCAATGCACTGTCTGAAACACGGCTTGAAAACACATGGAAAGGAGAGCTGGAAGGACTTGGACCACATGAGGTGATACCTCACGCCCTAAGGGTCCCAAATAGTATACCTGTCTATACAACTTTGGTCTTGGTAGAGAAAGCAGAAAATTAAAAAATATTTCAAGAACCTGAAACATTGTGTGTTGTCTTTCTTGTTTTTATTCAGCAACATTCCGTGAGAGCCCAGGATGTGCCCAGGGCTGCCAGGCATGTGGGCGGATGCTAGATAATGAGGACACCCTTATTACCCACCCCGAAGGCATATGGGAGCTGGATGCCAACCAGAACCTTAAGAGATGTGTGTGCAGGGCTCAGTCGGAAACCAGGCCAGAGGGGCAGCTGTGAAGGGAATTCAGCAGGCAGTTGGAGGATGGTCCTGTCTTCCACGGGACTCGGGAAAGGATGTTATAAATCTGTAACTTCAGAGGACCATTTGGAAAGAAGATGAATCTATGTGGAGACAATCATGGGAAAATACACAACATCACTAGAAGTCAATGGTGGATGGGCAAGTGGATGCGGATGAGCAGGGCACAGCCACCTCAGAACCGACCGTCATTTAGGGCACAGTGGAGATTTCCACATGTTGCCGTGCTACTCTGGGGATGTTTTGTGGGACTGCTTTTTTGCTGTTCACAGCCATGACTGGAAATCACTCACGAGCTCCAACAAACATGCCTGCTGGTAGGTAGCCACAAGAGTTCACTCTAGCCATGAAGACCACTCCCTAAATGTGCTGCTGCAGCTAAAATGCCAATCAAATAGGCCTCCCCAGAAAGAGCACTAAAACAAAGCAAATTGCTATCTTGTTCTTCTACAAAGCGACAGAGAGTGGACGCATGTGGCATGCTGCCTACATTACTGTCAGCACTGTCAGCATGGAGAAGGCTCACGAGGACCGATCCTGAGGTGGGCAGGAGACGTGAGCACGAGGAAGGAGGGCTTTGAGGTGAGATCCAGCCTGGACATCAGAGAACTAGTTCCATAAGCAGTAGCTGCCCCCAGGAACAGCTGCCTTCTCTCATTGTCACTGTCTCCTCCTCTTTGGTACCTAATACCTCCCATTCCTTAATGCAGCCATGTCGTGAATACTTTCTTTCCTTCCATACCCAAGGGACTGGAAAATAAACAGTAAAGGAGTCTCAACTTAGCCTTCCTTAGACTAGATTCCTTAAAGAAGGAATTGAATTCAGATTGGCTCCAGCTCTTGATATATTTTGGCAAATTGTGTTCTCAGAACTACTGATGGTGGTTTCTTCTTCACTGTTTTGTTACTTTTGATTATTGTATTATCACTTGTCATTACACCTCTTAGTTTATAAGCAGTACTCTGGATGATATTGTGTCGTTCTCCCCGCAAGCACTCATTTTCACCTGTGCTCTGGATACAGTTTCTCTCAGGGACTTTTCATCCTAGTACAGTGTTGTTATTCCTGCTTCACAATGGATTTTTTCATCTTATTGCCCAAGTAGAACTTTCCCCCTCTCACATATGATTACATCTCTGCTGATTAGATAATGAACAAAGATACACGTTCCTCAGGTAGCCCTTAGCCAAAGAGGGCCCCTGCTTCCAAACTGTGAAAGACAAGCAAGCAAGTCAGCTTAAAGTCAGTGGTAGGACCAGGCCTAAGTTCCCACAGCCCATACCCTTGAGACAGTCAGTCTTGCAGAACGTGGCGAGGGGCCGTCCACCTGGAATTACTGCCCTCCGCAGAGTGACCTCAGTCACAGGAGCTCCTGCTCCTCTCCAAGACCTCATTCTTGCCTGAATGTTTTCTTAGCCAGACAGGCATTAATTTATGTTTCAAATAGCTTGAGAAGAAAATCTCAAATTCAGCCAAGTTGAATTGGCAACCAAAGCCTAATCATTATTACTGTCAAGTCATATCCGTGAATGTCTTAGCCCTAAGGCGTGCGTTCAGTCAGTCCAAAAGATCTAATTGCCTGTTACAGCAGTAACAAATCCTGATCCAGATTCATACAACGGTAAGCAAAAGAGACAGCCCCTTGTGGGACACGGAGCGTGTACTTCTCGTCTGATGAAGAGTCATACAACTTCTGCTCAGATCTTGCCCTCCCCAGAGTCCATATTGCCCAAGGCTACCCTTTCATTTAGGAAGACATCTGATAGGGTGGAGGACTGACATCTTCAGCCCAACGCCCTGCTACCCTCTTCTGAGCTTTGCCCTTTTGGAAGCCCAAGACTGTATCTCACTGTTCCCTCCTTAACTAGCAAAGAGCTGGGAAGTTCACCCTTGACCGTTTGTTGATGGAAATAGACTCCTGCCTCACAGGTTCCATGAATGTACCAAGGCCATTATGTCCAGGATTCTTGCTCTGAGACGTGGCTGTGGCTGCCTCCCCAGAACCAGGGCACAGAAATCTCACAGGAAACGCCAGAGGGAACCCAGGGTTCGACAAGCCCAAGCTTGACTTCACTCCATCGGAGGCAAATCTGATGAAAAGACCAGCAAAATGGCTGTCATTCTAGCAGGATGTGCAAACAAGGAGCGTCCTGATTAACAAAATTTTGCTTGAAAAGCATTATGTGCGTACGTGTGTGTGTGTGTGTGTGTGTGTGTGTGTGTGTGCGATAATACACACACCTGAGAGCAATTGTCTTAATGTGGCAAGGATGTAAAACAAATTGGACATAATTTGGAGGGAGGGTAATGAGGTACTGAGAACAAGAAAACAAAGGATGACTGGGCTCAGCAAAGGTCTCGACTCCGTCCTAATTAGGCACAGTTGTTCTAAGAAGTGCATAATTAATAGGCATATGACCAGATGTGAAATGCAGCAGAGATTCTTCCTGAATTGGAAGTTGTAATGAAGTGTACACAGCTGGAAGTGGTTGTCCTAATTCGGCTGAGGCAGAAGGCCTGCCTGGAATTTTGAAGAGGTGTAATAGGAGGCGCACCACGGGTTTACACCTGAAAACAACTAATCCTATTCCAACTGGGCTGGGGTGTAATGAGATAGAGCTAATTAGCAAGCGTGTGATGAGATGCAAAAGGCCCTGGAATTAAGCTGGAAATATCTTTAAAAGTGAATTAAGCTGCAAACCCCAGAGAAGCATTTCTGCTAATGGAGCTAGGTGTGAGTGTGACACAGTGTGACAGGTCTGAGGTGCGTACCTGGGCCAGAGACTTACGCCTGTAATTAAAAATATCACTGGGTCATTCACACACCTGGAGCAGGAGTCCCTGGGAACCCGAGAATGCAATGACCTGTAAGAGCTGCACGTGTATTTTTTTAACGTATATATTTATGTACGTACAATGGCGGGGGGGAAAGGTGCTGTCAGGTGAGCATAGTTGTTATATTCAATCTCATTTAGAAATGTGGCCTCAGATTCCTGCTGACTTTGCAAATAGATACTCTAGGAGGAGAAAAATTGGCACTCTCCTCTTCCCAAACTTATTTAGTTACCTACCAGGCTAAGTTTTCTTGCACAAGAATTTATTTACTGTGACAGAGCAGGGACCCCTTGGTACCTGGTTTCTGTTTTATGATTGCTATTACATTATTATAGATGCCATTTGCTGAACACTGAACGTGTGTCAGATGCTGTGCTAAACGCTACCATAAACTTCCATTTAATCCTCACAGAAATCCTATGAGACAGGTACTATGAGCATCCCTACTTTCCACAGGAAACTAAGGCTCAGATGAAGGACCGGACCCCAGGCCGATGCTGACACCTGGGTTCATTTTTGGAACCTTCTCTGTTCTCTGTCCTGGGCCAAACTTCTCATCCTGTGTGGCAAAGGGAGAGTCCCTCACACAGCCATTGGAGTTCCAAGTGACATTCTCTGGTAGTTTGACACCTCCATTTGCTTTGTCCTCTCCTGTGGCCCCCAGAGGGAGCCATTCCCGAACTGAATTTGGGGCTACCTGCCTTTCTCCTCTGCTCCGCCTCAGCCCCCTACTGCCTGAGGCCCCACCCCCCCCACCCACCCCCCGTGGCCAGCACATCAGCATAATTCTTGGAAACAAAGCCCTTCGGCACAGGGGCTGAGCTCAGCCAGCTGGAGCCCCAGAAGGGACCCACACCTCGGCCAAGGGGGCTTAATGCTCAGGTTTTAGAATATGCTCTGCCTTGGCTCAGAATGTCACTTCGGCCTTTTACAAGTGGTTTGCTGTTGTACAAGTTACCAAACACCCTAAGCCTCAGTTTCTTCATCTGTGAAGTAATAATAATAGCTCAGTCCAACACTGTTGCTCTATAAAGTAAGAGAAGGGTGTTCAGTGCCTGGAACATAATAAGTACTATGTATACATAATAAATAATATTCTAATAAAGGTATCTTGTCTGTTTCTTTGATATGCCATTGACCCAATATCTGGAAAACCTACTCTGTTTATGTGGCATAGGAACACAGCCACCCTGACAGGCCCTGCTGTTGTGAAGGCCTAGGTGTTGTCGGATGGAGCCCAGGATTTAGGCCTGAGGCCCCGCCTGCTGAACAGCGCTTCCTGATTTTGTTCCTCCAGCATTTCCACCCCCTCTCCCACACAGGACACCTGCCCTCGGTGTCTGCTTCCTCAAACCTGCCTCCTTCCGGGCTATAGGTGAGTTTGCATCGCATTGCCTGCCAGCGTGTTATGTGCCTCTCATTAAACTCTGGAGGTTCCAGTAGCCTTTAGGGACCAGGCCTTAACAAATGAGATGGCCTTCTGCTGAGGAATGTCAGAGCCTGGCTCTCTAAGTCACAAACTGCTCCGTGAAACTGAGGTGAGAAAAGTGTCACTTCTAAACATTCTTTTTTCCAAATCTAACTCTAGCTCTCACTTACCCTTCTCGGCCAAAGTCCAACTGCAGTAACTTTGTGTGTTTCCTCCTGGGGTGGGGAAGGGGAACCTTCTGTGAAGACAGTATGGTCGTCGGTGCCTCCTGATCACTTTGTCACCCCTGCTCCAGATGCCAGCTGCCCTGGGGTGCCACAGCTCTGAATGTGGAAGTCTTCTCCGGTGTGCCCAGGCTTCATTGTCCAGCCTCCACAGGTGATGCCCCCACCCCGTCACCCCCACCCAGGGTCCTACTCACTGGAAGGTGCTGAGTTAGGTGCTGGTTGGCATCACCATGGAATCTAGGGCCTCTGTCTCTCTCCTCAGCTTTGGGGGATTCAGCACTCCAGGCTGGTCAATTCTCCCCTCTTTCTTTCAAATGCCAAAATCTCTTATTTTGACCACTGGGAGATCCAAGGTCCTTGCCCAAGCCTAAACCTTTCAAAACAGTAGCCTGCTTGTAGGAGTCCCCTATCTTCCCTCCTCTTTTCTGCCTCACTGGGCCCCAAGGACAATCCCCAGAAAGACTCCCATGGGGTGGCAGAGGGAGAGAGTCTTGATTCTCATTTAGGGTGAAGAGATGACAACAAGTAATTCCTCAGTAACACCCTCTTGTGGATTCATAAGTGCTGGATAGAACTTTGGAGAGCTTTTGTCCCAACCATCTCCTTTTCTGAGGATCAGGCGAGGAATTCTAAGAGAAGAGAGTGGGGACACTTAGTGACAGGCAGGGCCAGCACCCAGGTCTCCTAACTGCTCATCCCAGGGAGCATGCATTCAGGATCCTAAATGTGCCCGACGCCATCAGGCTGCCAAGTGAAGGGGTAAGAAAGAAGACATGGAAAGGAGAGGGCAACAGATGTGAATCAGCTGTGGAATATTGCAAGCCAGCACGGTGCTGAAAGTTCCGTTCTGTGGTTCAGACTAAATAGCTGAGGAATTCAGAGAAAAGAATAAGGTTATAGGCTACTGTTAGCCAGATACAGCTTAATGGAGGGGTTGGAACTGGACTTCAGTCTTGAAGAAAGTGTAGAGCTTGGGATAGGGTGGGGGGTACTAGAGATGAAGGAGTACATTTTGACAAACCCTACAGTTCAAATAAAGAAGAAAAAACTAAGCAAGAAAGATAACTCAGAAGAAGGATTGGCAGAGTACGGTTAGGAAAGCTAGTCGAGAGGGAAAATTAGTGAGGGAGGAGGCCCAGCATAGTGGTCTTCCTTTAATTATTTGTTCTAAACCTTGCTGGGAGTCAGTGGATACATGGGACCTTTGAATCTCCTGGGATTACATGTATGCAGCATTTGGAGGGATGGCTTGTTAGTGTAGTCTGTGAAATAAAAGTCTGAGATTTTAATCAGATTCTTAATATTTCTTGCTTTCTACTTTCCAGGAATATAGTAGGATTTCATTTCCTGGCTCCTTTGTGTTTGCGTGGGACCGTATGATTAGTGTGGCCAATGAATTATGAATACAGATGTATCACTTCCCAGCCAAAGCTTTTAATTACCTGTTTGCAACCCTCCAGAGCTCACTGCTCCCTCTGCCACAACATCCGGTAACATTCCAGACAATGACTGCTCAGTGTGTGTGGGTCCCAGAGGGAGGAAGATGCAGAGCCCCAGCTGACCTACAGTGGACATATGATGTAAGCATAAAATGAATCTTTGTTGTTTTAGGCCATTGAAAATTGTGGGCTGTTTGTTACTACAGCATAGCCTTGCCTGTCCTAACTAATGTACATAACAGAGACTGACCATGATGAGGGGAACGGAAAGATCAAGGGCATTTTGAAGAAGGATGAAGTTACTATGTCAAAGAAAACTATTTGAGTGAAGTGATGGGAACAGGAGCCAAATTTAGAGGCTCAAGGGGGAGGAGGTGGTGCTTTGCCAGCGTCAGGTGCTCAGTCAGCACATGGGCCCTAGAGATGGAGGCAACAGAGATGTGTTGTTCACTCAAGGAGTGACCCTGGAGCCCCCTAGTTTATGTCTTTGGCTTTTTCTGACACCTTCATTTTAACTCCTGTAATATTAGTGAATCACATACGTAGGTCTTAGTTCAGTGTTCCTAACTATTCATAAGAAGTCTTCTATAGATGTCAGTACATAGAGAGAAAAAATTATTTTCTTTTGTAATTAACAGTTATTAAAGCTTAAAATCTCTACATTTTCAGTGAGGTCTGTTCATCTCACTGGACTGGCCCCTTTCTCTTTGGAAGCTTTCCATCACAGTGCCTTTCAATGCCAGCCCCCAGAACTGAATTTTTATCCTCTGACAACCCAGGCCCATTCACCAAAACAGGAAAAAAGACTGAGAGAAAAAAAAATCTATTTCTGTTTATCTTACCCTCTTCTCCAACAGCTCAGAGCTCCTTGTATTTTTCTGATGTCCCAATGGAAGTAAATGTTAACGGCTTTGAAGGAGATGTGAAGTTGCAATTTCAAAACAAGGACACATAACACTGAAATGCTGTTAACTCAGCCAGTTTTAAGAGACTAATAAAGCACAAGGTACTAGGCCTTTTGGTACTTAAAGAGCTGCAATTCACTCATCTCCGATATAGCAAACCTTAAAGTATTTTCACAGGGGTTACAGAAATCCTTAAGTTTTGCAGTTTCATTAACTGTTACCATTTTCTTGGATTTTCATTTTCATGTCTTCTGGATGCAGTCAGTTGTGGTGTGGGTCATGCTCCAGAAGACCCCCGGGATGGTTACACACTGTCCCAAACCGTACCCAGAGTTCAGAAGGAAAGTAAGAGTATCTGAGTAATTCATCCCATTTTCTACCCCTCCATTGAGGACTGACTGTTTTAGTCCATCTGGCTGTTATAACAAAATACCAGAGACTGGGTCAGTTATAAGCAACAGAAGTTCATTTCTCATGGTTCTGGAAGCTGGGAAGTCCAAGATCAAGGCACCGGCAGATTTGGTGTCTGGTGAGGGCCCGCTTTCTGGTTCATAGATGGCACCTTCTCGCTATGTCCCCACATGGCGAAAGGAACTGGAAAGCTCAGTGGGGCTCTCTTTAAGGGCACCGATCCTCTTTATGAGGGCTCCACCCTCATGACCTAAGCACATCCCAAAGACCCCCACCTCCCCATATCATCGCATTAGAGATTAAGATTTTAATATATAAACTTTGGGAGGAGGGGATGGTGTAGTTCAGTGGTTGAGTGCGTGTTTAGCTTGCATGAGGTCCTAAGTTCAATCCCCAGTACTTCCATTAAATAAATAAATAAACCTAATCATCTCTCCCCCTAAAAACACCCAAAATTCAAAAAAAAATTTTTTTTAATAAAAAAACTTCAGGAGAATACAAACATTCAGGCCGCAGCACAGATCTAAGCCAATTTGACGTTACTATTTGCGAGGCTCCTTTGGTAAACGTCAGTAGCCTTCAACCATAAGAAGTAAGGAGGAACAGTCTACCTCCTCGCCACAACTTGGCTAGCAGGTGGTTTGCTGCAGACATTTAGCATGCAAGGACGGAAGTCATCTTTCAGCCTGCTCTGTGAGTTCAGCCAAGTCCCCACTATCTGTCCCTCCTCTCCAATCAGCACTGTTTTTGGGATGTTCACTCCAAGGCAAACACAGCAGTATTTTGACAGCAGGGTCAGACTCGTCTTCTAGTCAGATCTGAAGACAGAATTCTCTGTAATTATGAGAGATCAGGGATCAAAATGCTGTTCAATAGCTGTCAAGTACTGACTTTACTGATTTTTACCCCTTCATGGTAATTAACCAATCTCTGGTACTCTTCAGATTTAAGTGGCAATACTTTAAAAGTTTACCACAGCCACCTCTGGAGAAACAGGTTTTGGAAGGATGCCCCCGAATCTGGTCTTTGGGGACAGTGTTTCTCAGGGAGCCACCTGATTGGGCTATCCTACCCCTCATTAATATCCCGCCCTTCAGATGCTGTGTTAGTGTCAATCTCTAATCCCCACAATAGGACATCTACCGACTGGTCGTCTTTCTAGTTGTGGACACAGCTTTACACTGAGCGACCAATACAACCTTGGGACCTACAAGTTGAATTTGCAAGGCAGGACCCAGGCTGTAGTCCCAACCTGCCTCCAAGCCACAAGGATACTAACTAGGCCCACTGGAAATAAGGCTGGGCTCAGCCCCAGTGATACAGTGCTTCTCCGACCCACTAAGTGCCCCACTCCACTCACAATCAGGAAGCCTGGCTCAGAGACACTATGAACTAGTACATAGAGCCCCCAACCTGACCCTGCTGCTGGTGCAGACTGGCTCCCTGTCCAAGGGTACAGATCTTGGTACCCTTATTATACCAAGATTTAGAGTCCATCTAGCTTATCCTATTAATATCCAGGGCCACACCACCAGCCCATAGCTTATTAATAATGTATCACTGCAGACCCTGACTTAGTTAAGCTACAAACGTCCCTCATTTGCATGATTAGCTTTTACCTTACTGATTCGAGAGTTTCATCCTGTCCTCAAACGTACCCTTTCTGAATGAATGGCTCTTTTAAAGGGAGCCAGGTGCTCTAAAATGCATCTCAAACCCAGATAAAAAGGAACCAACCACAAAAATAAAACCCCAATATTTTCTTTGTGGAATGAGAATAGAGAAGTTTAAGAAGATTTTTAGAAGTTCAAGGCCCTGCTTTATGGAATGAACAAAAAGTAGCTATGGTTCTCTGGGGGACTTAAGGGACACAAGGTTGGAGATGGACTTGGGGACTCGTAGAAGATGAGTTTTTAGTGTTTATCTTGAGGAGTATGGGGTAACCACTAAGGGATTGTAAGTAACAGAGTGGGATCAGGTTTTGACATGAGAAATATCACTGTGGGAGGATGGTAGATGATGAATTAGAAGGTGGATGGATGGCAGAGAGACAAGTGATGGTCCAGGAGGAAGACGGTGGTGGCTTGAACGAGGATGATGGATGATGGCAGTGCAGTTGGATATAGGTTCAGTAGATTTTTTCATTTTTTTTACATCTTCCATCCAGCCTGTGGGTGACTCAGAAGGGACTTGAGAACTGACTTAATGGTGAACTATTATTATTTTGGGGTTGGGTGGTAATTGAGTTTGTTTATTTTTAGAGGAGGTGCTGGGGATTGAACCCAGGACCTCCTGCATGCTAAGCATGTGCCCTACTACTTGAGCTACTCCCTCCCCCCAGTTCAGTAGCTATTTAAAAGCATAATTTCTCCCTCACCTTGCTCAAGGCTCTGCTTGAATTTCACCTCCTAAGTGCATCCTTCCTTGACTACCTATTTAAAACAGCAGCCCCTCCCCCACACCCTATCTCCTTTCTCTGCTTAACTTTTCTCTGTAGTATTTATCACCTTCTGACATCTTATATAATTTCACTGTTAATTTGTTTCTTTTTGTTTTCCCCAAGTGGAAGATATATTCTGTGAGGGCAGGGATTTTTGTATCTTTTGTTTTCTGTATCTCCATTACGTAGAATAATCTCTAGCACATAGTAGATGATCAAGAAATATTTTTAGAGTGCACCAATAGGTGAAGAAGGAATAGAATTGGCAGGACATGATCACTGCTTGGCTGGGAGCGGGTGAGTAAGAGGAAGTGGTAAAGGAGCAAAGGAAGGTTCCCAGGTTTCTAGCTGGGTGACACTCCTGGTAAGATCACAGTTACTGTCACAGTTGGTAATCCCAGTGTCACTGACAGGGCAGGGGGCACTGTGGGAGGAACTAGAAATTTCTAGGATCTTTCTGGAATACAGTTTGCCAGTATGCATCAAAAAGCTTAGAAATGGACATATTCATAACACAGCAATTTCCCTTTTAGTTATTTATTTGCTGGACATAAGCACAAGATCTGCTACCCACCAGGAGGACCCTACTTCAGTATGGCTACCGTGCTTGCCAGGTAGGCAACTAGGAGCCCACCCAGTGATGCACAGGGCAGGCCTCTTAGTCCTGGCACCCTAGGGGGTTCTGTGGGGGCCCCGTCTAGATGCTGCTGCAGAAAAGTTAGATTCTAACTCTAGTCCCTTGCTTATGTCAGAGGCACTCACAGGAGGGCACTGGCTCACCTTCCAGTCACGTTTCTGTGAACAAACTAACCCAACCTAGTAGCTTAAAATACTTACTGTATCTTGTGATTCTGTGGATCCAGAATTTGGGCAGAGATTAGCTGAACAATTCTGTCCACATGGCATCAACCAAGGGGTGGCTCTAGACTAGACCAGGGCAACTGGTCTAGTCTAGACCTTTCAAGATGGCTTTACTCAGATGCCTGACACCTTGGCAGGAATGGCTCTAAGTCTGGGCTCAGCCGAGCCCCCTTCCCTCCTCACGTAGTCTCAGTCTCCTACATGGTCTCTCCAACAGGGTAATTAGACTTACTGCCTGATGATTCAGGGTGCCGAGAGACCAAGGCAGAATGTTTCATAGCTGGCCTTGAAACTAGCATACCATCCACTTTGGCCGTACCCTGAAGGTCAAGTAGGCCAGTAGTAGATTCCAAGTCTCTAAAGGAAGGCTAGCAAAGAGTTTGCATCCATCTTAATCTGTCGTACTCCCTAGTTAAGGATTGGCAGGAGGTCGAGGTCTGGCAGGGGTATTCCAGCTACACTCCTTCTGCCCCTCAGTGGTGTGGGCCAGTTTCTCTCAGTAAGTATATTGCAAAACGAAAATCTCTCAGCCTCTTTCCCCGTGGAAAATTAGGCTTATTATAGCAAACCAAAAAGATCCCCTGTAATATCACCCTAACACCTAAGTGTGGCACAAACCACGGCTGTCTGGCTTCAGTGAGCCGCGAAGCCAGCTCTCCTGTTACGCAGCAGTAATAAGTAATAGATGCTGAGAGGAAAAACCCTCTAAAATAATCAAAGGAAAGAAGATCGTTAAGGGAGGAGGGTATAGCTCAGTGGTAGAGCGCATGCTTAGCATGCACAAGGTCCTGGGTTCAATCCCTAGTACCGCCATTAAAATAAAGAAATAAAAACTTAATTACTTCCCCCTCACCCCCAAAAAATAAAATAAAAAAATAAAGATTTAGTTAAAAAAGGAAAAGAATTAAGATCACTAGAGAAATGTTACCAGGAAACTAATCTTGTTTTAAAACAAGGAAGAACTTTCTATAGTGAGAGCAGCCTGCACTGAAATAGGTCACATTTTAAAATAGTGAGCTGCTTGTCACTTAAAGTTTTCAAGGAGAAATAGATGGTCATTTATCATAGATGACGAATGTGGTTTCTTTCTCTATGGGCAGATGATTTTTGTGAGTGACCTCTGTTTTTAATTTTACTTACAATTTAGCACCCACCACTACCACTGCCATCTGTTTTCCAGAAAGAGTTTGAAAAAGTCTGGAACTATGATACACACACATGAACAAACAAAGATAAAAATAAAAAACGGAGACCAGAAACCACGTAGGAGAATTAGGAGAATTGTTGCAATCAAAATGAAGCCCAACAGAAGCTTAGAGGAGAAGAAGATCCAGCTCCCAGCCACGGGAGATGCGGACTCTGTAGGCCTCGAGCGGGGCCTGCCAGTGTGTTCCTTCTTTAAGCCCACCAGCTAATTCTGGTTGGAGGATCTTCTGGCCCAGAACGTTCCTCCCAGCTCTGTCATCTCCTGTATGCATTTCTTAGGGCTAAACATTACTCAGTTTAAGTAAACTGAAGGATATTCCCTGTTACAGGTGGAAAAAAAATTACCTCTATCATCTTAAGGTGTTAATACCTTAACGGATCTGTAGCCGATCCCCTAAGATGAGTATGAAAGCTGAGCTCCCTCTTTAGTGGAGAAAAGAAGATCTCTTTGTCTGTTGCTTCAGGGACCACCTTGAAGTCTCTTTATTTTTTTTAAACATTTTTTATTGAGTTATAATCATCTTACAATGTTGTGTCATTGAAGTCTCTTAAAACAAGGCTATTTTATGTTGCTAACTTTAGGAGGCAGACTCCTTGGTTCACCCTAATGGAAGATGGAGGAGGTGGTTTTGGCTCATAGACTGTCCTTGCCGAAACAAGCTTCCAGGTGACCCAAAAGAAGGATCAACTAGCCAGTCTTAGGGCCTCCTGCACTGTGACCAGGGATCAGCCTCCACGACCTGGTGTGGAATGGAGATATCCGAGTTCCTCGCAGATCCTCCGTATCCCTAAGCCTCTTCTCCTGGTTATTTCATTGGCCCTGAAAAAGACACAAAGGTGGTACAGCTCTGATTCTGAGCCTGACATTGGCCTAGAAAATGTTCATGATCATGTCAGTTGGCCACCTTAGTCATAAACAGTTCTGAAAGAAATCGGACCTGGAGTTGTACTGCCTTCTGATGAAAACTCTGATCATCAGTGATATCCAGGGTCCTAATAACTCCTGGGTTCTCAGGTATCAGTGCTGTGAGCTTTGGGCAGTGAAGTAAAAGGTGCAGAGCTCGGCAAACACGCATCCCCAGTACTAACGGGAGAGGAGGACGCTCACTTAATCAAAATCAGGTCTGAGACAAAAGGAGAGAAATGGCACCTGGTGTTCTTCTCAGCCAAAGTCCCTGCTTAATTCCAAACATATTCTGTAGGCTGGATGTCGGGCAGCTGAAGGGTGATCAGTCTTAGGCTGGAATTAAAGCCTGCTGCGACGTTAATGAAGAAGCACCAGTGGGTTTGCTGGAAGGTAATTTAGATCTACATAATTATGACTTAGTCCCTCACCCCGTGACATCAAAAAGGTCCCTACCCCAGTAGAAGCTGCAGGATTTCATGCCGCGAAGAATGCAGCCGTGTGACTCCTGTTCCCTTTTGTGTGTCATGCTCCCATCAGTCATGACAGCTTTATTAAATGGTGTGACCCGACCCGGTTCTTGCACACAGGGCGCTATCTCCTAATCAAAAATGGAAAGTGTGGCTGGGCAGGCTGTGGAGAGAAACCAAGATCTGCATCTTAAATAGCAGATTATCTGCTGTGGCTGGACGAGCTGCTGGTGGGTGGGCATGGCTCAGCGCAATCTGTTTTCTGAGGGAGCGATGGGAAGTACAGCCTGGAGCAGTTGGGAGTGAGGGAGTCCTCAGAACTGTCTTCAGAAGTCAGCACTGGTTCTGGGACCCACTGTCATGGCAGGGAGTTGCCGCCGGGACGCCACCTCACCACACATGGCAGGTTCCCAGGGCCAAGGAGAGCCCCCTTTGAAGCGTGGATGCTTCTCCTCCATCTTCCAAGGGAGATGAGAGATGGACATGGGAATTAGAGCGCCTACAAGCAGGGTTATCATTCTCATCAAAACACAGCTCGGCACCCACTGCCACGCCTGAACCAGTTGCAAAGCCAGTACTTGTGTCATAAAGCGCAGAGAAGTTCTAGGAGTTCCTTAGGCCAGAGGGCGTCAAGGAGGGACAGAGATTGTCAAGCTTGGAGTAAGGAGAGTCTGCCCCGGATGTTTCCATAAGGAGGTGACATTTGAATTTGGCTGTAAGGATGGTGGTATGAGCTGAATTGTATCACCTCAAATTCATGTGATGAAGTCCTAATCGCCAGTACTACAGAATGCAGCAGCTTCATTTGGAAATAGGGTCACTGTAGATGTGAATAGTCAGGCTGAGGTCACACTGGAGTAAGATGAGCCCCTCATCCTTAAAAGGGGGGAAATTTGAAGCCACACAGACACGTGCGGAGATGCCATATGAAAACTGGAATTATGCTACCACAAGCCAAGGGACTAACCAGAAGCTAGGAGAGAGGCCTGGAACAAAACCCTTCCTAGTGCCTTCAGAGGTAACGTGGCCCTGCTGACACCTTGATTTTGGACCGGCCTCCAGAACTGTGGGACAGTAAGTTTCTGCTGTTGTAAGCCACCCAGTTTGTGCTGCTTTGTGACAGCAGCCCTACCTGGCAAACCAGTAAGACTTGTAGGACTATATTTTTCTACACGGGAGAAGAGACCCTCTGGTGTAGAGAGGAACACATGCTCACTGAGTTACAAATGTGCTTGGATCTCAGGAGCATTCTATAGTTCAGTTCTACTGGAACCAAGAACGGAAGAGGAGCCGAGGAAAGTTATACTAGGGTCGGGCATAGAGAGCTTTGAATGCCAGGAAATTTCTTATCTGGGGAGTTTGCTTCTCGGTTATGTTATATTTCTCTTTATTTACATCTACTTTGGCAGGAAGTGATTTAAGATGCCTGACTTTGGTCTACAGGTCATGGGGAACCAGGGCTGTGTGCTGGGACGTGACTAGATCAGAGCCTCCGCAGGAGAATGAACTTGGACACACCTCCTTAGGGAAGTGAGAGGTAAGCAGCAGCCTAGGTCAGAAGCCGCGACAGTCATCTGAGAAAGAAGCCAAGGACAGAAACAGGCAAATGGAAGCAGAACAGAGAAGAGGGGATGCAGATGAGAGATGAAAGTCTGTGTTCACCTGGCTAAAGGTCAAGAGTGGAGAGGACGGGAGAGAGAGGAATGGACCATAATATTGTTAGCATTTTGAGCCTGGTGACTGGGAGAATGGTAGAGCTGAAACAGAGCAGGACCCTGTGGGGCCCTCCTGGGTACAAATTCTTCTGTATACCCCCCTTCTTCTTTGTAGGACATTGGCTTTACTTAGCCTCCTTGACCTTCCCTGAGCTCCAAAGGGCAGATTCAAACAGTTGCTAATCAGGGAAGGGAGGAAATGCAGAAACTAAGGAGGAGCAGTCAAGAAACATTAGTGCAGCCTTGGGGCAGGGTCCTGGTTCCTCCTCAAGGAATATATACAACAAAACACCTTAGAGTTCTTCTGCAGGAACCCAGGGCCCCACCCAGGCAGAAGATGGTAACTTCAGGCCAAGCACAGTATTCCTGGAACGACGCCCTGTTGCCTTACCACCAACCAATCAAAAGAAAGTCTGCACACAGTGGAAGGTTAGGAAGCCTCTGCCTCCTCCCCGAGCCCCCGCCTCCCCTTTAAAAGCTTTCATGGTTGAACAGAATCTTTGGAGTTGGTTTTTGGATACAAGTCTACCTTCTCCCTGGGTTGCTGGCCTCCTGAATAAAGCAAACTTTCTGTTCCTACCAGCACTTGTTTCTCAAATATTGGCTTTCCAGCAGTGAGAAGCCAAATCTGAGTTTGGTAACAGTGCCATTTACCCATTCAGTGAGGAACGCCTCCCCATGAAGGGGGGCAAGATTGAGGGGTTCCTTTGTACACACTGACTTTGGGGTGTCTGTGGGGGCCCCAAGCAGAGGAGTCCAGCAGGCAGTTGAACATGGAAGAAAATGTGACATCATTCACCTAGACGACAGAACTGAAATTTTGAAGCCAGCTGAAAAAGTTCCACTATACAAGAAGTCAAGTGAAATATGGGGAAAAAATCCACTGGAAATCCATTTAAAGGTGGTGCTAATCTATTCAAATACGGGTTGTTTTTCTTTCAAGTACTATTAACAAAGGAAAGATTTAGCCAGTAAAAGACTTTGCTTTTAGCAAAGTTATCCTTCTCTGTTCAAAGGCAAAATAATGAAATGAATAGCTGTTTGTCAAGGAAGGTCCTTCCCAGCTGGAAAAACAAAATCATGAACTCAAGCCTCAGGTCCTGCAGCCCTGAGGGTGATTGCCCCGTTTTGCTCTTCAGGCCTTAGCAGAAGCAGAAGTAGAACCACCAAAGCAGTGAGAAAGCAAAGCCAGCGGAGAGCAGCTCAGCTCTCCTTGAAGAGTTAATCAGTTGGTGAGCACTGAGCTGCCTGATGGAGGAAGCTCTGGTCATCGAACTATTCTTAATAGGTGCATCGGGGAAAGAGACGAAAGAAGCAGCATCTGGGAAGAAGACCTTGGTTGCTTTTAGCACCAGAAGGAGAATGTACTTTCTTTAAAGCAGAGTCAGAAAACCCTTCACGTTCCACGGCGAAAGGTAGTAGAATAATATACTGAATTCACACCTGACCATACCTCTTCTCTGCTTAAGTATTTAGGGAGCCAGAAAAAAGGGAACAAAGCTCGTATGATCTCATCATCAAACCTTACTAAGTCAAGTAAACGTGGATAAGAGCTCTCATGGTGATGTGTCACCAAAACTACACTTAGCTTATGGCCTCATCAGTAAAAATACAACGTGAGTGTTTTGTTTTAGGCGCCTGTCATGCTCAGAGACTGAGACTGCTCTCATCAATATTTTACTTAACACAGGTTTGCTGCAGGAATTAAAATACTTTCACAAGAGAATAACATACAAGGTAATGTCTCTTAATAGGCCAGTAAAGAAACAACATGCTCCAGTCCACGTAATGACACTCCAGTCCAGGGTAATGACGCTGTTGTTCCAGGCAAGAGGAGATGAAGGGAATAAAGTCCAACTTTAGTTCCAGGGGAACCTTTATACGAGTTGGTACTCCAGAGGGTTGGCTTGACCAACCGAGAGCTGACGTCCCCCTGCCCGCGCAAAAGCCAAAGTCCCTGTGACTGGTGCACATTGCGAGGGAGCAACGGGCCGGTGTTGGTGGGCGAGGTGATCTTCAAGGAGCATCTGCAAGGTTTGGCACTGCCAATAAAACAAATCACCTTGACGACCATAGGAGCTAATGCCCCTTGGGTATTTGGAGAGCCGTTTAGGTCAGCAGAGAGTCTCCTTGCTCAGATGGAAACTCTGGGATAGTCTCACAGACTCTGGGTATTATAATCTAAATGTCCTCTCACCTTATTTGTTTCTTGATATGTTAGTGGGTTTATCAATCAAGCTCCGAGTGCTTATCAACACGAATGGAAGAGATGATGACATTCTGACACAGCTTACTTCATTCTTGTAACCAAACTTCCAAAAAAAAAACATTTTTTTTTTGGTCTTTGTCATGAATGAGTGGATTTGAAATCATATCAAAGCAATACACAGCAATGAACCACAAGTACTTAAATGATTCCTAGCAGTCACATTTAAAAAGGTAAAAAGAAACAGGTGAAATTAATGTTAATAAAATACTTTATTTAACCCAATATGTCCAAAATATTACCATTTCAACGTAGAATTAATATTTTAAATTTTTTGAGGTATTTTACTGGAGTATAAGCTACCTGAGGGCAGGAACTTCACTCAGGCTTGTATCTTGCACTGTGTTTGTCACAGTGCTTTGCACATGGTAGGCCCTCCATAAGCCTTTGTTGAACTGAATTGAAGGATAAAAATCTGGGGTGCCCTGTGAGCATGAAGTTGCAACGTGAAAAGGTTGGGAGTATAAAGAACACAGAGAATACTGAAAAATTCATTTGAATTTGAGAGAGAGAAGTGGGAGGAGGATGCTGAGAGGGGACTGAACTGGGAGAAGAGGGGCACGCGGGGTGCGGTCTGGTGACCACTGAAGAGCCAGAGAAATCAGAGAGTGGCATTGTCTCATCATAACATTAAAGAGCCGGAGCGCCAATCGACTGCCCTTTGTTGACAGATACCTGTTTGACCTTATTTAAAAAAAAAAGTGGGAGAGAAGTTTCCTATGGCTTCTGTGAAATTGCTCTGCATTTCACAGAGTAAAGGTCTCTATATTACAAAAGAGGAATGAATGTGAAGTGATTAACTGCCCCAGATTCTACCAAAAGAAAAGAAAAGAGAAATAGATCACGCAACCCTGGGACACGTTGAAGAGTGATTCCTTCATCAAGGGAAATAGTGAAAGCAAGGTAGTCCTTGGCTTGGGCAGAGGGTGGCTATTTTAGGAAACCCAGGCTCCCTCTGACCCCATACCTACCCCACTACATATGCTAACACAGTTCCAAGAGCCTTATGTGGGAGTGTCACCAGTCCATATAAAAAGAGACCATGTCTGCCTCTGAACCATTTAAAAAAAAAACAAAAAACCCAGAAGCCCCTCCAGTGAAGACATACATTGGCCAGACAAGTGCCATGTGCTCATCCTAAGCCATTCACCAGCAAGGAACAGGACACTCTGCCTGCCTGAAATCGATCAAGGCCCTCAGCAGGGGCTGCCGCTGGATGGGGCCAGTCTCCTGCAAGCAGCTCCTGGCTGCTGGAAAGCAGGGATCCTGGAGGAGGTTGAAGTTCTGTTAGGAAGGAGGGGAGGAGTGGAGGTTGGAGGTAACAGACACTAGCTCTGCAAATAGCAAGGAATGCTTTCAGCCCGGGCATCAGTTTTTAATTCCACTTGTTAAGCTAATGAAACCTCGGCTTTTTTCCTCTAAGTGATTTCAGTGGTACTCGATTATAGTTCAGTTTTGACTTTGGGGTCAAAAAAACTTTGTTTACATTTCTTTGCTGTACCGTCTACTGGCAACACGTTCTCTTAGGCAAGTCAGCTAACCTCCTAAACTCTGTCTTCTGGTTTGCAAAATGGGAATAATAATTCCTACTGTTGTGAATATTAAGAATCAGAAAGTACGTGAGGAACCCAGCATAGTGCCTGCCATATACCAGGCGCCCTTACTGTGAAATCCTTTTATCTGTGTTAGAAATGGTGGCGATACTGGGTGGACCAGCTGCTTACTAATTTGCTGGGGGGTTGACATCATAGATTTGCTTTCAAGGGAAACATATGAAATAATTTACAGTTCCATGTAGTCTTCTGAGAAAGCAAGAACAATAGGTACTTTTCATAAATACAGAGAAAGAGGGGTGTCTAGAGTCAGTCTAGCACATTAGCAGACTCAAACAAGAGGGAACACACTGGCATGTCCTTTCTCTCCTCACTAGGACTTGACACCGTGATTGTTCACTAGCCCAAGACAGTGAGAATGCCTGAGTTCAAAAAGGGCCCAGTTAGCCACAGCCCCCTCAGCTCTTGGTCCATAGCTCCGTGGTATCTCTCACATTGTATTACAAAACCCACCCATCTATATGAGTCATATATATACTTAGTGCACTTTCTCCTGCTAGACCAAAGGTTAGCATAGGCACCTTTTCCTGTTCATCTTGTCTCCCTAAGAGAAATTCCAGGAATAGAAGATTCTGATTAGTATGTAAATTATAAAGAAAGGTTGCCATTTGCTAACTAAATGGTGACCCCTTTTAGGGCTGGGATGAGGTCATGGGGTGTTCATTCTTGTCTTTAGGGGATGACTGCAAAGCTAACAGAACTGCCCTCAGAGGAGCCATTAGGAAGGCTAGGAAGGGCTGAGGCTCTGACCCACATTTCATTTTGAAGGGGCTGCCATCTTCTTGCTGAGTCATTGCTTTCTTATCTCAGCCTCTCTTGGCAGCTCTCTTCTTAACTGTTGCTCCTTGAGAGGGAGTTCTTATTCCTCTCTTCAGGTGGCGTGGCCCAGAATGTATGGAATCAGCTCTCTTTGATTTGCTGCTTTTCTCCAGGAGCTCTGTGTTGACCAGCCTTTCTTTAAGAAGAATGTCCAATTTCTAAGTAGTCTTGAGGTCTGGTGGTGGTAGCCTGGTCTCTGTTTTGGGATTTCCATGCAGTACTCATGCTGTAATGTTTCCTCTCTTTATATGGTTCCGTATTTGAATATTTGAGCTCAGATTGTAGCTTTGACAGCTCCGGTTCTACAGTCTGTCACATAATTAAGGTGCTTATGCTCTTCTGCTCTCAATACGTAAATAGTCCTGCTTAACAATGCAGTGTACTCCATTTCCATATTTATTATCGCTAATCAGGAATTAGGTGGGTGGATAGTCCTGGTGACACTAATAGTAGACCAGCAGTTTTTTAGGGGAGGGGAAGGAAGTGTGGTAAAGCACAACCATGCTGTGAATCCAAGTCCTTCACCCCATGTAAGTTCCAAATACCAACTAGTATCTCAATGATGAAAATTTGCTAAAGGCTTAAAACTAATAACCATACTGTCATGTGGCGCTAAGTGAACTTGTTTTTGGCCTTGCATAATATCCCCAACCTTCCCTTTCAAAGCACCTGATCTTTTTCTCAGCAGTGGACATCTTGGTGTCCCATGTTCCCCACCCCCTGTGTCGAGGTGGGGTCCAGATGCTGTTTTTCTTCTTCCTCTCCCTCATCTGTTTTCCTACCACTAGAAAGTGTTACTCTTGCCAATCTGAATTTTGTTCACTCTTCCTAGATTCTCAGGCATCCCAGCTCACTCTTTTCTTTCTCCAGCTTCCTCTGTCCTCTTCATCTGTTTCTGTCTACACAATTCAAATGCCTGCCTCTTACTACTGTGGCAGCCTCTTCAGTGGGCTGTGTTGTAAAACAAGATAGATCTTTTTCCTCTTTACTCGGAAAAACTAATGTCTTTTGTGGTCAAAAAGAAAATTAGTAGCAGCTGAAAGCAGAATTTTAATGACACTAAAACCTAATTGTTATTCAGCTTTAACTTTAAATCCTACCTCCTCTTCCACAAATTCCTGTTAATTCATCAGCTAAATAATGTGGCGGCTACTAAAGATTCTGACATCCAATTCTCTGCCTGCGCAGGTTTATTGCCATGGTGAAAAATACGTTGTCTTTTTACCTTCATTTTTTTGAAACAAGCATAATGAAAATATAAAATATTGTTTAGGATTTATCTAAGAAGACTTGGCAGCTGCTTTGAGAAATCGTTGGATGGGGAGATACGAATCAAACTCGAAAGTCCTCTCTCCCAGCTTCCTAGTCATTATTTGAATAAGTATGAACCATAGGGCATGAGAAGATCTCTCCATCTGTAGTCGTAACTATGATCCCAATCCATTTATTTCTGTAAAATTTTAACATACAGGGTAATTTCTGAGATGGCAAAGGACTAAGAATTAACATGTAACCTTGTAAATTGTGATGACTGTCATCCTTGGAAAATGCTGGGTTCACAAAATATCCCACAAGTAGTGCACTGATCTGATTATTCTCTGCTGAGGTGTAAACCTGCAGTTCTGATAGCTGCTGCCCAGAGGTTGTTGGAGATTTTAAGTGCAGAAACATCTTAAGAACTGCATCAGCAGTGAGGGTGGATGACAGGTGAGGGAAGTACTGTAATTCTGACTACATGTGTGCGCAGAATTCACCCCTACGGTACAAAGTTCTGGGTGTAGTTTACAGAATGCTCTAATTCAAGTCCAGCTAGCTAGCAGACGTCCCTTCCGGACACAGTCGGATTAGCTTGATAACCGAGGCACAGTTGGGTGTGGATTGAGTTTGCTCATTAGTTAGGTTCAAATTCATAGAAGAGAAATGAGATGAGGGAAGATGCAGCTCTTTTGAGAGATGGCTAAAGGAGCGAGATTAAAAAAAGTAGAATACTTGTCCCAGATTTGTGCCATCCCTCATTAGCCTCTGATAGAAATTACTGCTTAATGTAATCTATCCCTGGGTTAAACATGTCTCCGTGGCCGAATGTATATAGACAATGCCTTCGTTGAAGCTATAGAAGGGGACCTTCGGACAAGAACCATAGTCACAGAGAGTTGCAGGAGTTTTGACAGTAACTCTGACCATTCTCTTGCCTGTCCTCCCATTGGCCAAAACTGATCAAAAGACAAGTGGCAAGGGAGCCAGGATACTGTCTGCAGGAGTCAGCCCTCCAGGAATCCAGAGACTAGAAGGAAACAGAAGGGGCAGGGAGAAGTGAAGACTAACCAGTGTCTATGTCTTAGAGATTATTAAATGGATACTAGTCAGGTACTGAGTAATGCCTGCCCTATGGTTGGTCCCATCTTGTATCACATTAATGCTCTCTGCCTGAAGAGACAATCTTGGTTTCTTTCAAGAATCAAAAACATTTTTTAAAAAGTGGTAGTGTCTTTTCAACAAATGATACTGGGAAAACTGGATGTCCATATGCAAAAGAATGATGCTGGACCCTTGCCTTATACCCTATATAAAAAGTAGCTCAAAATGGATCAAAGACCAAACCAAAAGAGCTAAAACTATAAAACTCTTGGGAGAAAACATAGAAAAGCTTCGTGACATTGGATTTGATAGTGATTTCTCAGATATGACACCGAAAGTACAGGTAACTAAAGTAAAAATAGATAAACTGTACTAAATCACAATTTAAAGTTGTGCATCAAAGAATATGTCAACAGAGTGAAAATGCAACCCTGGGAATGGGAGAAAATATTTGCAAATCATACAGCTGATTAAACATAAGTATCCAGACTTCCTGCAATGCAACAACAGAAAAGCAACCTGATTTAAAAATGGCCAAAGTATAAAATTGATAAACAACAGGATCCTATTGTACAACACAGGGAAGTATAATCAATACCTTGTAATGACCTATAATGAAAAAGAATATGAAAAGGAATATATATGTGAATAACTGAATCACTATGCTGTATACCAGAAATTAACACAACATTGGAAGCTGACTATACTTCAGTTTAAAAAAAAAATGGGCGAATGACTTGAATAGATATTTCTCCAAAGAAAATATACAAATGGCCAATAATCATGTGAAAAGATGCTCAACATCACTAATCATTAGGGAAATGCAAACCAAAAACCACAAGGAGATGCAACTTCTCACTAATTAGAATGGCTACTATCAAAAATAAAACAAAACAACAAACAAAAAACCCAGAAAATAACAAGTTTTGGTGAGGATGTGGAGAAATTGCAACCCTTCTGCACTGTTGGTGGGAATGTAAAATGATACAGCCGCTAAAGAAAACAGTATGGCAGTTTATTAAAAAGTTTAAAATAGAATTATCATATGATCCAACAATTTCACATTTAGGTATATACCCAAAAGAATAAAATGCAGGGTTTCTGCACACCCGTGTCCATAGCAGCATTATTCACAGTAGCCAAAAGGTGGAAGCAACCCAAGTGTCCCCTAACAGATTAAGGGATAAGCAAAATGTGGTATATACTTACAAGGGACTATGATTCAGCCTTAAAGAGGAAGAAAACTTTGACACTTTACAACATGAATAAACCTTCAGGACATTATGCTATGTAAAATAAAATAAACCAGTCACACAAAGACATAGACTGTATGAGTCTACTGAATTTGAGATACCTAGACTAGGCAAATTCACAGAGACAGAAGATAGAATGGCAGTTTCTAGGGGCTGAGGTAAGGAGTGGGGAGTTACTGTCTGATGGATGTAGAGTTTAAATTTTGCACAATGAAAAGAATTCTGGGAATGGATGACAGTGATGATTGCACAGCACCGTGAATATACTTAATGCTACTAAACTGTATGCTTAAAATGGTTAAATGATGGTGAATTTTATGTTACGCATATTTTACCACAATTTTTAAAAAATCTATAGTATGAAGAGCAACTCATTACCAAAAGAGTTAAAATCAAATTTCCCAACAAGATTTTTATGCAACAGAATTTTATAAAAAGCCATAAATCACTTTCTGAATGAATTCACAGTCAAGATGGACTCTTGAGTAACTTGACTTGGTCAGGAATGAAAATCAAAACGTGACAGAGTGAGAGCTGCTTGAGGGAACCTCAATAATTAATGAACTTTAAAAATGCCCTAAGCCTCTATTTATTCATCATGAAAATACTATGCATATTCAGAGTTGTTTGTATCTGCAAGACTCTTTACAGAGCACATAAGTAATTCAAGAACAAATTTGCTCACCTGGGTATGTAAGGGCAGTGAGATGCCAAAGGTCAGGATTCTTTCCTATACATCTGACGGTTACTGATTTTTGTTCTCCAGAAATGCACGTTGCCAGCATCCCAAGTCTCACTAAAAGGACCCGTGGCATGACTCAAGGTATGATTTCTCTTTACCATCCTCTTTCTACTTTTGAATATACAATGTTTCATTGGAAGGGAAAAGAACTCCAAAGCCACTTCTTGTCTGCTAGTGCTTTTGACTTGCAGCTGGGACTCTTTTATTATTGTTGTTCTTATTATTTCTAAGTGTATCCTAGACTTCTCAATAACTCTTTTTGTGGTTTGCGTGACAGTGGGGCATGAAATGGAGGAGGATGGTCAAGCAGACCGTCCACGAGGCCCATTTGGCTGGACAGGGTGGTTGATAAAATGATAGTATGTAAGATGTGAAATTTATTCTTTTCCAGTTTCCCAAGGAATTTCTCTCCGTACCTTACTTAGAAACCACCCATAAGTGTTACCTTCTCTGATGGTTAATTTTACCTGTCAACTTGATTGGGACATGGGGTGCCCAGACACTTGGTATATCATTCTGGGTTCATTTGTGAGAGTGTTTCTGGTTGAGATTAACATGTGAATCGGTAGACTGGGTGAAGCACATTGCCCTCCCTAATGTGTGTGGGCCTCCTCCAGTCAATGGAAGACCTGAACAGGACAAAAAGACTGAATAAGAGGGAACTCTGCTTGTCTGACTGTGGAGCTGGGACATCTGTCTTCCTTGCTCTTGACCTGGAATTTCTACCATCAGCTCTCCTGGGTCTCCAGCTTACCAGCTTCAAACCTTGGGACTTCTGGCCTCTGTATTCATGTGAACCAATTCCTTATATATTCCTTATTGTAATTATATATTCTATTGGTTTTGTTCCTCTGGAGAACCCTGACTAATGTACCCGCATTGTTAGAAAGATTTGCAGCTTCTCTTTTGGCCTTTAGAGCAGCAAAGGTTTGTTTATGATGGAAGATAATACTGACAGTAGCAAAGGCCGATACGGAAATAATCCCTTGAATCTGAGTCAGAAGATAAAGATTCTGAATTCAATCTGTTACCAACCGGTTGGGTGAGACTGCAGGCAATCCAGACACTATTTGCGTAAGTTAACTTTTGCTGCCTTTCAAACTATCCCAGGTCTTAGTGGCTTAAAACAACCATTTATTTAGTTAATGATTTTTTGAGTTGACTGAGCAGTTCTTGTGGTCTGGTTTTTGCTGGGGTTTTATTCATCTGGTTTTTGTTGGGTTCCCTCAGGAACCTTAGATCAGTTGGCAGGCTGGCTGGTGCTGGATGATCTAGGCAGTGGGAGAAGCTAGCCAAGGCCCCAGAGAACCAAGCCATTGTTTCCCATTACCCAGCAGGCTGGCCCTGGCTTCCTCACTGGGTGATCACAGAATCCCAATGCCCAGGCGCTTTCAAGTCACTGCTGGTGCCACATCCGCTACTCTTCTACTGGCCAAAGTGAATTACATAGCCAAGCTCAGATTCAAGGAGTGGAGAAGCGGACTCCACCTCTTGATGGGAGGGGCTAAAGTCACATTGCAAGGTGTGTGTACAGGAATAAGAAGAACTGGTGGCCGTATATGCAGTCTACCGCAGAGTCGGCCAATTTCACACTCGTCTCATTTAACTCTCCCTGTAACCTTGGGAGGCAGACCTGAGGACTGGCTTGGGTTAGCCAGGCCTGACTCTAAAGAAGTCCTGATAGACCCTTGGATGCTGGTTCGTGTCTTTTCACTTCTTTGCCAGCTTCGGAGTCCAGGTACTCTTGTTCTGAGACAGACATCATCTGCCCAGATGTGATTTCACTCAGGAGGAGCGAAGGGGCAGCTGCATTCAGTATAATCAGTATAAAGCCAAGTTTACGTAGTTAATACGTGTTTATAAAGCATTGATTTATGTGCTGGGCACTTTTTACAAGGAAAGGAGGGACCCTCGGTGGAGAAAGGTAACTAAGAAGTCTGGCCATAAGGTGTAGACGTAAATTGTATAAAGTGTCTAAAATGTACAGTATTATCAGAGACTGACAGAGTCCCCTGTTAATCTCATGGGAAAGCATCATCTGTGGGAAATGGACTTGGTCCATTATAAGAATTACAAGGTTCCTGCCTTCCCCTTGTGGCTGTCAGAGTCCGCCACCAGGCGCATCTTTTCTCCCCCTTTTTTAAAGTCTTATCCCCTGGATGCTGCTAAGACATATTGACACACGAGGCAATTTCGGTCACTTCTTCGCTCATGCCCCTTTTCTTCCAGGAAGGCAGCACCCTCCCCCTTCTTCCCAGCTTCCTGTGAGCAGGTTTCATTTCTTTATCAACGACTTCTCAGAGACCCTTCCTGAAACACATCCTGGCCAGCCTCTTTGCCTCTGTTTATGCCACTTTGCATTTCAGGACTGTCCACCTCCTCCTCCCACGTGTCTCGTTCTTCCTTGAAGGCCTAGCTCAACTCTTACCTCATCTATGAAGCTTCAGAGCATCCCCGTCTTGGGACACAGATTTGATCTCAACTGACAACTCCGATGGACTGGCCTGGGGCCCTGCTTTATTGGCCTCAAGGACTGAGTCCTGTCTGCCAACAGTGGAAAAGGGAAGGGGATGATCTGTGTTGCCTCCAACTCAGTCCCTCCCTGAGGGCCTGTAACCTTAACCAGAAACCAGTCAGGTGGGACTTACCTTCTCCTGTGTATTTTAATCACCTTTTAAAATCTGTGCATCTGCTGCCACAACTATAATGTAAATTTCTTTTTTTAAAATTGAGTTATAGTCAGTTTACAATGTTGTCTCCATTTCTGGTGTACAGCACAGTTTTTCAGTCATACATGAATATGCATATATTCATTTCATACTCTTTTTCACCATGTGCTACTGCAAGATCTTGGCTGTGTTTCCCTGTGCTATACAGTATAAACTTGTTTAGCAAATTTCTTGATGAAAGAGGCCAAGACTTGAACTTTTACATCCTCAGCACCCGAAATAGACCCCTCTTCCATAGGTTGTGTAATCAGGTGGTGATAATAATGACCTGGGTGTTTCCTGTGCTTTACATCACAGCCTGCATGATTGCTTTCCCACAAAGCACCACTGTTCCAAACTCGCTCTTACCTAGGTGAAGTATATTGTGCTTCTTGAAGTGGATGGGTATGGTGGGATTTCTTGCACAGCTCATTCGCCTGGCTTCTGTTTGCTCTTCCTTCTGTTTTTATTATTTAGTGCCATTGGGATGCTCTGGTTATTAAACCTCATGTCTCTCAAACACCTTTTCCTTTCTGTCCCTCCTATGATGATTTCTTCCTGAATTCCTTCTGGTCTCCTTTGACCTTCTTCTGAATGTCCTAGCATAACTTCTTCAAGTCCCCCTATCTTCTTCCAGAAGATTTCACACAGTCCCTTCTGGTCATCATTTTAACATTTTAATCATTTTGATCTTAAGTTGTTGTGACTTCCCTGATGAAACCTACTTTTCTGTCTGTGAAGAAAATCTGAGCTAGAAATTCTCAGTAATCCTTATCCAGTCCTCTGTTCAGATTTTATTCATGACCTGATGCTTGCAATTCTTTTGCAAACAATTCTTCACTGGCTTGATTTTTCTGCCTTTGTCTATGAGCTTTTAAGACTATCTCTTCCTCGACTGCAATTTTTATCTTTGCTCTCAACACCAGTATCTGATACAGGATATCTATTATAGGACACTCTGCAAAATGCCTTTGATACTTGTCTGGGACAGATATTATTCAGCTCAGTCAAATCTTGCCTAGACTGTATTCAGCCCTCCCAGCCCAATTAATTATTATCACCATAGTCTGAAGACAGCTGATTTCTGCAGAAATAACAAGTGAAGTCCCTCATTTATTGTACTGTCTTTTCCCAACTTTTTTGATAATTTTACTGAGGCTCGAAGTATCTGTCTGACAGTTTGAAGGGCCCTTCCGTATACACTATATTGAGTCAGGAGGGCCCCAGGGGATGTTCTATTGGCCCCTAGATTTTCCATTCTTAGCCTTTATGACAATTGAAATAGATGGTTATTTGTGTAACTATGTGCCTAATGTCTATAGACCCACTGAACTACTATTAGATAATAAACTTCCTTCTTTATGAATGATCATCCCTTCTTCATAGAAAGGAATAACAAAACATAAAAGAATATGATATTAATGCATCAAATTATTTCAGATTTAAGGTCTTCCCCTGTCATAGTCAGTTTGGGCTGGATTGGGTTATAGACAACAAGACTTCATTTCTCACAGTTCTAGAGGCTGGAAGTCCAAGGTCAGGGTGCCAGGTTCAGGTTCTGGTGAAAACCTTCCAGGCTGCAGAAGCCACCGTCTCCTTGTATCCTCACCTGGCGGGAAGAGGAGCTAGCTCTCTGGCCTCTTCTTACCCCACTGAGGAGGGTTCCACCTTCAAGACCCAATCACTTCCTCGAGCCCCACCTCCTCTTACCATCACGTTGGGGATTAGAGTTCAACGTATGAATTTTGGGGATCACAGAAATTCAGTTCATAACATCCCCCAGGAAGTTTTACTAAAGCAATCGAGTGGAGTACAGTGTTTTGATTAAGGATGTGGGCTGGGAAACCAGACTCTCTCCATTTGAGTTCTAGCTTTGCCACTTGTGACAAAGTGGGTTGAGTGGGTTACATGACCCCTATATGCCTGTCTTTCCTCATCTACAATGTGGGGATAATAATATTAATCTCTACTCTGTAGGCTCTTTGCAGGGAGAAAATGAGTTAATATATGTAAAGTATTTATAAGGGTGTCCGGCACATAGTTCTTACTCATAAACATTAGTTGCGGTTCTATTTTCATTGTTATTAGTATATCGGTGGCACCTTCTATGGCCTATCTGCTCTCACCATGTCATGATATTCTGTGAAAATTTAAGTGTTCTATCAAAAACACCATGAGTTCAAGATGCTGCCACCTCAACATACCTGAGCACCGTTTAACCTGTTTGTCTCTCTCAGCACACTAGGGAGGGGGTATATATACATGAACCGGATGGAGCATAGGTTCTTTGCTTTGCCCAGGGTCTACACGCCTGGGAAGATGCTCTCCCCAAACACAGGAAGCAGACGGTTCTTCCCTGCCTTTTCTTTCCATTCTCAATGAAGTAAGGTCTTATATCAAAGGCTGGCTCCAGATACGGGGAGACCCCTGTTCTACACAGAAAAGTCAGGGTAAAGGTCAATGATAGTACCAGGGTAAAGCTACCAAGTAGCCAAAGCTGGTAGTTAGCACCGTCTTCTAAACTTAAGCTCTTCACCCCTTTGATTCCCCCCTTTCCATAGCCTATCCCAGACATCCTCTCAAGAGAGGCACTCTTGAGTGTCACAGCGACACTCTTCCTCTTTCTTCTTCCTCTCACCTAAGTGGGTAAGGATCCAGGGCTATCACAGAAGACCCTGCTCTCCTGGGTTAGCATATCCCACTGCCTCTGCCCACCCCACTGTGCTTCCCTGGCTTCAGAAACCTCGAGTCTTCCTGCCTGGCCCCCAGCATCCCCCCCCCACACACATACCCCAGTTTTCAGTACCTCACCAGGGCCTGGTGCCTCACAATTACTTCCTGAGAAATTAATTCATACTTCTGGAGAAAGCAGAGTATTAATGGTTAAGATCAGAGGCTTTGGATCCAGGAAGACTTGAGTTGGAATTTTGGTTTGGATACAAGTTGTGTGACCGGGCAACTTGCTTAGCATTTTTGAGTGTCATTCTTCTCCTTTGTAAAATGAGGATATCAATTCCTATTTCAGAGAGCAGTTGAAATAATTATAACTGAGATATGTTTATAGCATGTAGCACAGGCCTGGTTTCCAGTAAGCAATGAATAAATGGAAGCAATTATCGATGTCTTATGCTAATAGGAAACGTTTAGACAAAATACTCCCTCCCCTCACCTCCTCTCCCTCTGCCAAATTCTGTCTTCCCCACCCAGTAGAATAACTTTTATAGAGACAGTGCCTTTTGTTTTGATGCCCAGAATCCCAAAGAAGGGATTCTACTCATACAGTTCCAGCATATGGGGCATTTTGGTGAACTAGCAAAAGCAAAGATTGAGCAAGGAGAGGTCTGGACTCTTAATTCCTTCTTGGCTGCTAACAATTCAGAGGCTTGGGGGCAAGTCATTGTCCCTGGAGGACGATCAGTTTCTTCTTCTGTAAAAGGGAGAGTTGGGATGAGCTTTTAAATTCTTTCTAGTTCTGACATGCTATGATTCTGATATGACAGGGTTATTCTCTGAGTGAATTCTTTTGTTTATACATAAGAACATTACCTGATAAGTGGTTTTTCTTCTGAGACCTATTGTGTACCTTGATCCTGCATCACATTTTCCACCTGCAGAAGCATTAGTTGAAGGTAGACTGTGGAGCTGGTCATCCTAGGTTTGGACTTCAGCACCACTTCTTGTCCTTGGGCCAGTTATTTAAATTCTCTGGGCCTCAGTTACCTCATCTGTAAAATGAGGATGGACAGTAAGTAGATGTGAAGGTGAAAAGAGAGGAAAACTTTAGAAATGTATAACTCCAAAGGCTAAAGTTTAATGTCCCTTAGGGCATTAACCAGTTTTATCTCTAACTTAGCAAACTTACTTCAAAATGTCTTTTCTTTATGGACTGCAAATACCCTGTTACCATCTTACTGGTTCCCTCATCAATTAATGAGTAGAACAAAAACCTTCCACATGTGTTTCCCTCTATTTTTGGATGATAATCATCATTTTAACTTTCTGAAAAATTACTCTTTGACAGATCTTAACTAACTCTGCCTTACAACACTTTTCTCAACAGACTGACATTGCCAAAACTCACTTTGCTAGAAATGCTGATTAAGTTATTGAAAAAAAAAAACAAAAAATGCACTGGGTTTCCATTTTTATACTTTCTGTCCCCTTTGTCCTTATGTCAGTCAGCTAGATCCAGGGCCTCTGGGGGTAAGGGTGGAGAAAAGCCCCTTGGAGGAGTTTCTACCCACTGGAAAAGAAGCAAGCAAGCTGTAAGATGAGCCTAGCCGAAAGAGAAACTTTCATTATGGCCTTTACATTTATGATGAGCAAGATAAAGAAGGAAGGTAGTTCTGAAGGCTTTATGTCAGTTCTCACAGGCCCTCAAGCACTGACAAAGATAATAGTCAATGGATGGTGTCCATAAGGATTTTTTCACCTTCTCCCCTGACAGCCATTGACAGGATCATTTTGTATTCGCAAGTGCTATCACTGAAGCATGGAGAAAAGGCCCTGTAAGGCCAGCAGGATGAGGGCAACTTCCCTGCAGGGATCTCTCTTGTCATCACTATGGCAATAATAGTTAACTTTCATTCTGCTTTTCTATACAGTGTCTATTTTGTGGAGCTCAAGGCTATGGGATTTGGGTCGCATGAAATCACACTAGCATAAAATCATGCTTTGTAATCTTGCAAGAGTATTTTATAAAAGTGTGAAGAGAACTCATGCAACAAGATGAAAATAATTAGCAGTGCAGGTCATTGGCTAATACAGTTATTTAGGGGATGCTGACAGCTTTACAGAGGCTTTCAGATTTGATGTCAGTTTTTGTTTTTGTTTCTTTTAAAACTCTATTTGGACTGTTAGACCACAGCCAGTTTTTCTCCCCAAGGACACAGCTTATCATTTCGAGGTAGAAACGTAAATTGCAAACCAGCTCTCAGTCATCGTTGTCTGGTATTATCTGCAATTAAATAAGGACAGGAGCCATGCCTTCTATTTCATTTGTGCTCACCGCACTGCAGCGAGTAAAATTTCAGGATTACTAGCTTTCAGACAGACGGCTTTAGGGACACCTGACACTAACAAGTACGACTGGGCAGAAAGATCCCTCCTGAATGAAGCCAGATGGGACACTCTCTGGTGATCTTAGGGTGAGATGAAAAATCTCTAAGAGGGGCCTCGAGGTCAAGAGAAAATACAGTTGGACACAAAAGGATGTGCAGAAAAGAAGTGAAGACGAGAAAGACAAACAAAAAGAAACAAAGCCAGAGACTGAATGGACTACAAAGAGAAAAACACCAGAACAGGAGGACAAAAAGAAAAGGAAAGTTGGGCGCCCACACCAGCTCAAGCCGCAAGTGAGGACTTGCGGAGGGACGGAGACTACAGCCCCCAAAATCCCTTGCGGCACCTCCTCGTGGGGCGTCAGTCTCCTAGGCAACCGGGTAAACAAGATGGCGACCTCCGGGAGAGATCCCCAGTTGCCAAAGCCCTCCTCTCTCCAGGGAGGTTCGGGCAGTTCACGAATTGGAGCCCAGTCGAAACTGTTGCACTCAGAAAAGGAACGTCAGTGTTGCTGGTCTCCTTTTCCCATGGGGCAGAGGTCGAAAGATACTTTCCGCAGAGCCTCCTCCTACCTGTTCCAGCAGCTCATTCACCGCTATCAGGAGTCAGACGTGGACAGAGAGGAGTACCAGGGCGAGGAAGAGGAAGAGGACGAGGGCGAAGGCGAGGGAGAGGGCGAGGGTGAAGTGGAATCCGAGGAATCCTCAGAGTCAGAAATGCTGGATTTGGAGGTCTGCCCCCCCCCGCGCCCCATCCCCTCACTTTCTTCTTTAGCAGTCGGACCCCTCACCAGCCCATGGCTGAGCTCTTTCTTAGGGCTCCTCGCCTCCAGGAGCGCCTCTTTCTTACTGCTCCGAGACTCCCCCTCTCTCCTTCCCATTTCTGTTGTCCTATTTCCTCATCCTCTGCCTAAGATGTCTCCAAGTATGTCCTTTATTTTTCGTTAGCATGTTTGATTTCTTAAGAGTCAAGTTACATAGCGTTGCTACTAAAAAGTATCTATTTATTTGTGTGGGAGTTACGGCTTTAACTTTTTCAAAATTATGCATTGACAGTATTGAGAATGAGCAGAGTGCTACTTCTGCACCCCTGCACATTTTCCCCATGATTGTGAAGTATT